GCGGCGCCGCCGGCCGCCGCCGGTCTGCCGGCGATGAGCAATCGCACCATGACATCATCGTGTGAGCTGAGCCTCCCCGGGGGAGCGCGGGGCAGGCAGGCAGGCGGGCAGGCGGGAGTGCAGCGCAGAGCCGGGCGAGGACGCCGAGCTCGTAGGGCATGCTGGCCGAGCCCAAGTATGGGCGCTTCCACAACGCCTCCGTGACACCGGCTGAGGACCCACTGCCGGCCCCAGCCATGAGTGGCAAGGTGGCCCCGGCCGCACCGGCCCCGGCCCCCCCGGCGTCCGCCCCAGCGCCCCCCTGCCCCACGCTGGGCGAGGAGCAGGAGGCCGTGACCACCTTCTGCACGCTCATCCCCAAGATGCCCCAGTGGAAGTTTTCGGCCCCCTCGGGCTTCCTCAGCCGCAGCCCCTCCAGCGCCAGCAAGGACCTGTCACCCCCGGCCAAGGCCGGGGGGCCGGGGGAGGCTGGGGGGGCCCCCTCGGGCCTGGCGGCCGTGCTGGGCGCCTGCGAGCCCGTCTGCTCCACGCCGTGTTCCCTGCAGGTCATGAGCCGGCTGCGCGGCGGGGCGGGGGGCTCCCGCAAGGCCCCCCGGGGCGAGGGGGGACAGCCGGCCGGCGAGGAGTGGAACCGCAAGGGCAGCTTCATCAACAAGCCGGCGCAGGGCTGGCTGCACCCCGACGAGAGGGTCCTGGGTCCAGGCGTCTCCTATATCGTCCGGGTAAGCGCTTTTCTCTGCTCCTTCCTCCCTCCACCACCCAACCCAGCCAGGCAGGCAAGCATCCCCCCAGGGCCCTGCCTGCCCTGGCCCCAGCTCTCTAATCTCGGGGGCTAGGAGCTGGCAGGGGAAAGGGGATGGGGCCCTGGATTTGGGGCTGGGATTCTCCAAGGTCCCCCCACCCAGCTGGAGCTTGGCAGGCTGCATCGGAGGGTGGGAGCCCTTGCACCAGGGGATGTCCAGGGAGGTGGAACCAGGCCCTTGGGGGGGGGGGGCAGGCCATGGCTGAGATGCTCAGTCTCAGATGAGGCCATTCCCCAAGGGGTCCCATCCTGGGCAGGTGCATGGAGCACAGCATCCAGCTTAGGGTAGAGGGGAGCACGTCTGTCTCTCCTCCCCCCGGCCCCCAAGGGCATCACTGAGGCAGAGCAGGGCAGAGCATACCCGGGGGGCAGGACCCACTTTCCTGGCTCCCAGCCCCTCCTCACCGCCAAGAGACACGCTGCCCCTTCCATTCTTGTTTGGCCCTGGTGTAACTGGCTTGGAGGGAGGTGGGACCCTCCTGACCGACACCAGCAGCAGGCTCTGTCCCTGCTCTTTCACTGCCCCCCCCATCATTTGGCCACATCACTTTGCCTCTGTGCCTCAGTTGCCCATCTGTAAAATGAGGGGTGTTTGCCTTGGTCCCTCAGGCTGGTTCTGGATGTGGGGCACAGCCCAGACACTGTGGGGAAGGGGCCAAGAGGAAGGGCTGGTTTATGGGGGACTAGCCCCTGCTCACCTGGGGTGGAGCCAGGGTGTGGACACCGCAGAGAGCCCCACTCCGCACAGCTTTGCTTCAGGGGGAGTGGGACCGTTGCCCTTCCCACAGCAGCCCTGCCCCAGGGAGCCAAGCTGGGCCAGCAGCTCTGAGTCCACCTCCCCCATCCCCAGCCCCTTCCCTGCCCCAAGAGGCAGCTGCCAAGTGCCATCAGGCCATGAGGCCCCGCAGGGACATCTGTGCAAAGTCCCAGGTGCGGTCAGTGATCCCAGCCTGGGGGCAGGGAGAGCCTGGCTGTGGGGGCAGGAGACACCGGAGCTATCTCCCCACATGGACTGGGATGGGGGCTCTGGCTTGGGGAGGTGTCTGAGCCAGCCGGCTGGGAGCCAGGTGCTGGAAGGGCAGCCTGGGGTGCTGCCCCGGTCCCTGCCTGGAGTCCTGGCTGGCAGAGACAAGCGCCCCCATGCATCACCCTGCCGCCAGCATGATTCACACTCCCAGCTCTGCTCCCAGCACCTTCATCCAGCCACGTCTCCCCCCACAAACTTTGTTATCCATGGGTGCTGACAGCTGCACGAACTCACTACCCACTGCAGAAATGCAGCTACTGCTGGGGTGGGAGGATGGCTTGTGGGGGCTGGGGACAGCACAGGGCAGGGGCTCAGCAGCTCCGTTCGTGGGGGGACACATTGCGCTTATCCAATCTGACACCCCCCAGACTGGAGGCTCTCACCTGGCACCGCATTCGCTGCCACCACTGCTGTGCCTCAGTTTCCCTCCTCTGCTCCTTGGGGATAAGTGTGGGGGCACCAGGAGGTTTCCTTGTCTGGGCGGCACGAGGCTTGGGGGCTGGGAGGGGTCACCCAGGGACGAGTCCCACCCATACAAAGGTCTCAGCACCCAGCTAGGAAGTCACCAGAGCTGGGAAGGGGGCTGGGGGGGTGGATGGATGGCACACGGGGGTAGCAGCATGGGTGCCCTGGGCATCCCTGGCTCACAGCTGTGGCCGTGGGGCACAGACTGGACATCCCCACTGCCTGCTGGGTGCCCTGCAACTACCCCCCTCCCTGCCTGCCCTGGCCACTGTGTCTGGGAGTGGGGCCGGGCCCGGGGCAGCTCAGCTTGGTTGATGCCCCCCTCTCTTGCAGTACATGGGCTGCATCGAAGTGCTGCGCTCCATGCGGTCTTTGGACTTTAACACGCGGACCCAGGTGACCCGGTAAGACCCCCCACGTCCTTGCGAACGTCCCCGCTGGCTGGGCGAGTCCAGGCCCTGCGTGGGGCAGAAGGACCAGCTCTGACTGCTGGTTCGGGGCTGTCTTGGATCCACACCGAGTCCCCCCCCATGGGGTGGGGGGAGCCCAGGCGGATGGAGAGGGGGAGCTGGGGCTCGGGGACGAGGGCAGGATCACGGGCTCTGCTGCCTGCTGACGCAGCCGATCGATGGCAGGGGCGGGGGAGGGGGCGGGGGCTCTAGTCCGGGGTGCAGTCGCCAGGGAGTATCGATGGCTCGGTGCCCCTCCCCCTGGCTCCCGTGGTACGAGTGTGGGGAGAGGGTGCCTGGAGGCTCAGCCTCCATCAAGGGCAGGGGGGTGTCCAGAGACACTGAACAAGGCCCCCTGCCCAGGGCTCAAGTCTGGGGCTGGGGTCGCAGGGGATGGCTGGGTACCAGGGACCGACTTGGCAGTGCTGGCCACCCCCCACCAGGCAGGTGCAAGCCAGGCAGGCTTTGCAGGGCATCTGGGCTGGGTGCCCTCTCCCCTAGCAGCGGCTGTGCCAGGCTGCCCAGGGCATGCGGAGCTGGGTGCTGACGGAGTGATCTTCACCCTGAGCCCTGGCCGGCTTCCCTTTCCCACTGGGGCACCTCAGCATCTGCACGGGACCCTCCCGGCTGCCCTCAGCGGATCCATTGCCAGGACAGTTCCCCCCATCACTGCTGCTGCCCCCTTTCTCCACCCCCTCTCCCCAGGCTGCTGGAGCTGGTGGCAGGCTCCAGCCGGGAGCGCAGTCCCTGGGGAGCCCCAAGGCCCTGATTGCCACTTAGAGGCAGGAGCAGGAGCGCAAAGTGCCTGGTGCTGAATTATTAAAGAGCTCTGCCTGGCAAGAACAGCTGGACGTCATTGCAGGGCCCCTGGGACCATTCCCCGTCCCTGCCCCCGGGGATGCGGTGCAGGCTGGAGGCAGCGTCTTAGCTCCAGGGAGCGCAGTGGGGCAGGATGGTGGGGACCGGTGGACCCAGGCGTCCGGGTGCAGGGGCTGCGGGGCTGACTCCGCGCCCAGGCAACGCTTTGCTTGCAGGGAGGCAATCAACCGTCTGTACGAGGCTGTGCCTGGCGTCAAGGGGGCCTGGAAGAAGAAGGTGGGTTGCGCCCCGTGTGCTCTGGGTCTGGGCAGCAGGGAGCAGTGGTTAGGACAGGCAGGAGGGCCAGTGCTGGGGGCAGGAGCCGCGTGTCGCTGGCTGGTGGAGGGACAAGGGCAGGCTGGCCAGGGCGTGGGGATGTGGGCGCGTGGCTCCGTCTGGGAGCCAGACAGGCTTTGGAGAGGGGAGTGGGGCAGCTGGAGGGCCAGATCCTGCCCACGCTTACTCCCCAGAGTCTCCTGCTCTGTCCTCCTGCACACCCCATCCAGCTGGCTAGTTTGCCCAGACACCCTCTGTGCTAATGGGCATTGGTGGGGGCTGCGGCCCCTCTGAAAGCCAGGCCCCAGCTCTGAATTCCCGCTCTGCCTGCTCCCCCAAATCAGCATCTGAAACCCCCCCGGTAACGGTAACGCGGCTGTGTCTCTCCGGGCAGGCTCCCAACAAAGCTCTCTTCTCCATCCTGGGCAAGAGCAACCTCCGCTTTGCTGGGATGAGCATCGCCGTCAACATCTCCATCGACGGGCTGAACCTCATGGTCCCCACCACGCGGCAGGTGAGTCGGGGGCACGGCAGGGGTGCAGCTGCCCTGGCTGTGCCCGGTCTCAAGGGTCCCAGCTTCCGCCGGCCCCACAACCATCCAGCCCTGGAGAGGCTGTAGCACCAGGGCTGGGTGGGGGATGCGGGTGGCTCTGGGGCCAGCCCTGTGCTCCGCCTGCTAGGCAAGGCTTTCTCCTGCAAGCCTTGGAGGAACTATCCCCTTCCAGGAAACCGGAGGCACAGGGGTGGGGGACTGCAGGTCCTGGGGCGGGGACTGGGGTCCTGGGTAGGAGGGGGGCTCTAGCCTCTGTGCTTGCAACCAGGGGCTGGTGCTTGACCGTCCCTGCCTCTGCCCCTCTGTGCCCGCAGATCATCGCCAACCACCACATGCAGTCCATCTCCTTCGCCTCCGGGGGGGACACAGTAAGAGCCCCTTTCCCCCCTTGCCACCCTCTGTGCTGCCCTTGCATGCGGGCAACATGCAGCCCCAGTTGTCTTGCGGGCTCAGGGCAGGTTCAGCTCCGGCTGCTGGCTCCTGTCTCTGCCCCGGGACCCCCGAGGGTGGGGAGGTGGGAGACACCCCTACCTGGCCTCCCCTCCTCGCTGTTGAGGGGGCTGGGGACCCTGCATCTCCATCCCTGCGGGGCTGCAAGGAGCTCCCTCCCTCACAAGCTGCCAGGAGTAGTATGTCCATTATCTCCCATGCGGGTACTAAGGGGACCACCGTCCCCCAGATGGGACCGGGGCCCAGTGGGGGTTGCCGGCCCCATGACGGTCCCTAAGGGATGGGATCAGCCCAGCTCCAGCTGCCTCTGCAGCCCTCCAGAGGGGCAGGCTCTTCCTGGAAGGAGCGGGGGTCTCCCAGTGCGGGGCTGGGCATATTAACACCCAGGGCTCCTGCCAGGCCGAACCCTGGGCCCTTGTAACGGACCCTGCCTCTGCCTCCAGGACACGACGGACTACGTGGCATACGTGGCCAAGGACCCCATCAACCAAAGAGGTGAGGAGGAGTGGGCAGACACCGGAGGATGGGTGATGGGGAGGCTAAATGGGGTGCCCTGGGGAGGGGGCTGGTAGGTGGCACGACAAGGAGGGTGCAAGGCACCCGCCCCTTCCTGACCCGCCTGTCTGTCCGTCTGTCGGCCGGTCCGTCCGCAGCGTGCCACATCCTGGAGTGCTGCGACGGGCTGGCCCAGAGCGTCATCAACACGGTGGGGCAAGCCTTCGAGCTGCGCTTCAAGCAGTACCTGCACAGCCCCCCGAAGGCGGTGGTGCCGCCCGATAGGTAGGGGCACGGGCGCTGGGGTGGCACTGCCGGAGGGCTGGGGGCACCCTGCCGTGGGGGGCCGGGTCCTTAGGCGCCCTGGCCCCGGGGGCTAGGATGCCTGGGTTGCCGTGGCTGTGCCCAGGGATGCTGCAACGGCTCTAGATGCCTCAACTCTGGGTCCTGGGCTGTTCCAGCTGTGGCCTCTAATTGCTGTCCCTGCAGAGTGCTGGGCCCCGAGGATTCGGCGTGGGGCGACGAGGAGGACGCGGGCGAGCACGACTACTACAACAGCATCCCCGGCAAGGAGCCGCCCCTGGGGGGGCTCGTCGACTCCCGGCTCCGGCACGGGCCACCACTGGGCCACGTGAGCACCCGGCCCCCTGCCCCCGGGGCCTCAGCACCCTGCCCTGACCCCAATCTCATCCTCAGGGAGAGGTGGGGGCTGGTTGCTGGCATTGCAGGGCTTCCCTCTACGTCATAGGGGAGGTGGTGGGTTCTCCCCATTCCAGCCTAGGAAGTTCTGCAGGACTTTAGGAGATGCCCAGAGCAGCCACATGCCCAGATTTCCTGACCCACGTGACCCCCACCCCGGGCAGATGGCTGCAGCTTCCCTTTGTCCAGAGGAAGGGCCTGGGCCAGGCCAGGGGGCAAATCCCGGATAGATCCTGGATTCAAATCTCTGGGGGCTCTTGGACGCGCTGCACCAGCACTGGGGTGGGGGTAGCGGGCCGAGGGCAGCAGCCTTGCAGGAGCCAGGGGCTGGGCACTGCAGGCTGCATGCCAGGCTCAGGCTGGCTCCCACAGCTGGACAGGCCATGGGGTAGTTAGCACGCGTGTCCCAGGCCACAATATCCCGGTGGTCCCTCGCCGGCATCCCATGTCAGTGCCCAGCCCCTGCCCCGTCCCTGCCACCGTGCGGGTCCTGAGTGCTGACCAGGGGCTGATTGTGCTTCGCAGGCTGGATTCCCACTCCGGAGGGACCCGAGCAGCCACCCAGGCCCCCCCTGGGATGTTGATGCCCATGGTCAGTGCAGAGAGATCCTTTAACGGGCACTAATTCATAGGCACAGGGTGGGCGGCCAAGGAAGCCCCGCGGGCAGTGGCAAGGGAGTGGGGGTGGGTGTCACTGGGTCCCATCCTGGTCTCACCCGCTCTGGGGGAGCTGCTGCTCCTTTCCTTGGGGCAGGGTTGGACCCATGGGAGGAGGCGTCTGCCCCTGGGCATAAGAAGCAGCCTAAAGGCTGGAGTGCTGGGCACCAGGGGGAGGCCCTGGAGGGAGGGGAGCTGCAGCTACCCTGGGACGCAGGATGGGGTGGGGGGGGAGACACGTGCAGGGGGCTAGGAGGTCCCGAGAGGCTCAGGGTGGAAGCGCTAATTCTGGGGGTCCTGGCGGGTGGACAGGGAGCCCACTGTGGGCCAATATGCCCCCCAGGGTTGGAGCTGGCATCTCCGTGCAATGAGACAGGAGGCCATGGAGCGATGGGGGAGCTGTGCCCTCTCTCTCCGGGGCTCTGCTGGAGCTGACCAGCGGGCATGGCTGTATCTTCCAGGCCAGCCCTGCGACGGGTACCTGCAGGCTGACGGGCAGCCCCTGGGACCCCGCGACTACGAGGACCACATGTATGTGAACACGCAGAGCCTGGATGGCTGGGAGGCAGAGCCTGGGGGTCACGGGGTGCCGGAAGAGAGCCCCAAAAAGGACCTCTTTGATATGAGTAAGAGCAGCACTGGGGGGTGATCGTGGCCAGGGAGCTGGGGTGGGGAGGGGGGTCTCCCCGGCTGGCCCAGGGGACTCAGAGGGATGCTCTGGGCTGCAGCTCGGTGCTGTGATCCTGGCTCGAGTGGCTGCCCATGCCAAAGCCTTGCGAGCTGCCCCCATCTCCTCTGTGCCCCTCTCTCAGGGCCTTTTGAAGATGCCCTGAAGCTGCACGAGTGCACAGTGGCAGCGGGCAGTGCCAGCCCCCCCTTGGAGGACCGGTGGCCCAGCCCCCCCACCCGCAAGGCCCCCATCGCCCCCACGGAAGAGCAGCTGAAACGGGAGCCCTGGTACCACGGGAAGATGAGCCGGCGGGACGCCGAGAAGCTGCTGCAGGTGGACGGGGACTTCTTGGTGCGGGACAGCATCACCAACCCGGGGCAGTATGTCCTCACGGGCATGCACGGCGGGCAGCTCAAGCACCTCTTGCTGGTGGATCCGGAAGGCGTGGTAAGGCTGGCGTGCTCCCTTCCCCCTGCCCCGTGCCCCGGGCAGTGCCCCGTGGGTCCTGTCCCCCAGCCCCTGCGCTCCCTTTCCCCAGGTGAGGACCAAGGACGTGCTGTTCGAGAGCATCAGCCACCTCATCAACTTCCACCTGCAGAACCAGCAGCCCATCGTGGCGGCCGAGAGCGAGCTGCACCTGCGGCAGGTGGTGGCCAGGAAGCAGTGACCGCTGGGTGCGTAGCCAGCACCCACCCTGTGTGGGGACCCCGATTCTCCCCTGCCCGGGCTTAGGGGGTGCCTCAATCGGCCCAGCCATAGGGGCCCTTGAGTGCTGCCCCTCGTCTGGGGGGGGACAGGCAGGGGGGTCCGATGGGGATTGCTGTGGACTGCGGCCACGTCCCACCCCCCCTCTGTCTCCCGCAGGTGGTCGCCGCGCTCCATCCCACCCCTGCGACCGGCAGCCCCCGGCAGCTGGGCTCCCGCCTGGGACGGGGCAATGCTATTTACCCAACATGTGTGAGAGCAATGCTCCCCTTCCCCCTCCCTGCCCCGCCACGGAGCCTGGCACCGACGGACCAGGAACGGGCCCCACCCCGGCCCCCCGGCCGTCCTTGTTCCCTCGACACGCTCGAGAGCAGAGCGCGGCAGCCAGGACGCCTGGGCTCCTTTCTCCTTGCTCTACTGCTGACTTCCTTCGGGGCTGGGGGGGAGAAGTGCAGGGAGGGAGAAGGTGTGGGCAAGTGGTGTCACCACTCTGTGCCTCAGTTTCCCCCCTCTGTAAAATGGGGGAGGAGGAAATCGCCTGAGCTGCCTTGCAGGCAGAGCGGTGGGGGGTAGGGTCATTATAGGTGGGGGCTGCTGGGCTCCAAGGTCAGCTGCTTAGGACCCCCGGAGCAGAGGGGAGGCCTCAGCAGGTGGGGGAGGATGTGCCTGCCATGCAGAGCTCCTACCAGCACGAGGCTCATTGCACCAGGGGGTTCAAAGGCCTTGGAAGAGAGAAGAGCAGAGCTGCTGGGGGCAGGGTGGATGGATCTGCCCCCCACCCGCATGCCCTCCGCCAGCCTGAGGCTATGCCAGCACCTTGCAGTCCTGCCTAGGAGAGGGCTCTGTCTCTTCCCCACCCTCCTGTTTGCCCAGTCACCCTCTGGGCAGGGGGCTGGGGCGGGGAGGGGGCAATTTGCTGCCCTGCAGCTCGGCTCAGGTTAGCACTGCTTGGAGCATCGCTGGTCCCTGCCTCCTGGCACCGTGCACGGTGGGCTGGGGGGTAACGGGCTCCCCATCGTGCAAGGGCTGGCCCCTGTGGGTCAGGATCGTTGTCCCCGCTCGCCCTGCCGCCGGCATCCCGCAGGGGCCCATGCACACGTCCCGCCCGGCAGCACCAGGCTCGCGCTCTGCGCTGCTTTGCACAGGGCTCACGCGGTGCCCGCAGGGCTGAGCACCCACCCCTGGGGACGGACCCCCCCACGCTGCGGCACGGGGCAGGACAGACCTGTGTGGACGCCTGCTGTCCCGAGAGCCTCCTCGTTTGGAATATGTTTCTAATTAAACCCAGAAATGGCCCCCCGGCCTCTTCTTGCCTCTGCCTTGACAGACCCTCTGCAGTGGGATCTGCCCCCATTTGGGGGGGGACACCCTGGCAGGGCTGTGTCCCTCCAGTGGGTGGAGGTGATGCCCTGGCGGGGTTTGGGAAGGCCCTTTGTGCCCCAGAGACCCTGCTAAGGGGGTGTTAGGAGAGCATGGTGGGTGCTGGTCCTGAACTGGGGCAGGGACCACATACCCCCTGGGCTTGGGCTCGGGACCCTCCCTGGAGCGTGTGTGTCGGTGCAGGGGGGGTGCAGACCTCAGAGCCCGGCTGTGCCATGGAGAGATGGATGTATCATGGACCGGGGGCAGTACTGAACAGGCCCTGCCAGGCTGCCTGCCCTGCCTGTGCTCTGTGCCCGCCGTGCCCCAGGGACGGGCATCGATGCCAGCAGGAAAGGCTGGTGCCAGCCCCGGAGAAGCAGAGCCACGCCCAGCAGGTGCGTTGACTCTGACACACATCAGTGCTCCTGGCCCTTGCTGCCAGCTCCTGCCAGCCCCAGTCAGGCCAGCGCGTCTCCCGCCGCGGACTCCCGATCTGGCCCCAAGCAGCGGCTGGTCCCTTGCCTACGTGGCTCCTGGCTTAGGGACCATGCTCCAATAGCCGAGCTCTCTGCAGGTGGGGGCTCCTTTGCCCCCAGCTGGGATGCCCAGGGCTGGGGTGTCCCTGAGCAGTGCCCGTCTCTTGCTGGGCTGCGCCTGGCACTGGCGCAGCCAGGCATGTAGCTCCCGCTCCGAGCTGCCATTCATCACTGGTTAATGAACAGCTCGGTTCAAAGGGGAGCAAGGAGCTGGCTGGGCCGTGCCAAGAACAGCGACCTGCACAGAGACTGGGGCATCTTGGCACCACAGGTGCTGCCCCGTCTGCTTATCCGCGGGCGGGGGGGACAGCAAACCCCCATGGACTCCACCCCAGTTATTGCAGCTTCTTCCTTGTGGTTTCAACCCCTGGATTTTCAAAGGCAGCATCTCAGCCCTCAATTTTCGTGGGGGGCAGTTAATTGCAAATCTCCGGCAGCCTTAAGGCCTGGCTAATGAGGGGAGCACCAGGAGACAGGAGCTCTCTTCCCAGCTCCGTCACCAACTCCCAGGGACTGCAGCAGGGTCACATCTCCCGGCAGATAATTACCCGTCCCTTTATCTCTCTGCTCTCTCTCTATCCAGCCGGTCCCTGATGTGGGCACCAGCTCTCCCTACATAAATGTGCAGCACCTGGCACAATAGGGCCCTGATCCCAGCCAAGCCTGCTCGGTGCCCTGTTGTACAAGCGATGCTGGTCCCGTGCTGGGCTGCTTCTCGAGACGTCGGGCTGGGTTGCTCGTCCCCAATGAAAGCAAGGCCTGGCCCGACAGGGGTGGGTCAGACCCGGCTGCCCCTTTGGGTGGGAAGCGCCTGGTTCTCGGTGCCGCCGGCCAAATGGATGAATCCAACCCCGAGTGACGTACGGCCCGGTAACGAATGCATCGCTTTCCCGGAGACACCTCCAGGGACGCAGCGCTGCCACCGCCGCTGCTATTTTTTGCCGTCTCGTCTCGTAATGGGCTTGCAAAGATAATTGCATCGTCCCCCTCGAGCGAGGCACGACGAGGCTGCCGGAGCCGCGCTTTCTTCTTCTGTCACCACCTGAGACGGAGTCGGCACCTTCTACCAATTACCGGCGCAGCTCAGGCCTGTCGGCTTCGGGGCCGCTGAGAGCTGATGCTTGAGTTGAGGGTTTTAATTGCTTCCGAACACGCTGGCGTCGGCTGGGCTTATGCCGGCCCCGCCACCGAATCTGCTGGGGAAGGAGGAGCCGGGAAAGGCAGCGAGATCGGTTTGATGAGGACTCGGCTCAGCTTTTCGGCTCTGAAAAGTCCCGGGAGACGGGTTCTCTCCAGTGCCGCAGCCACTACTGGGTTTCATCTCCGTTAGATCCGACTATCTGATGCACGCGTTGGTCCCCACGGCCTATTTGGGATGACATGACTGACGGCCCGTGTCTCCGAGGCACAGAACAGCAATCCAATGACACCCCCGCTCACGCCCCGTCCCCGGGAAACACACACAGAGCAGGGAAAGCCCGGTGCGTGTCCGTCTTCGCCGGGGCGGTTTGCACGCATTAGGTGTGATGCTTAGGAGTGGAGGTCTTCTGGGGCCTTGGCACAGGGGAAGTTGTAGGGAGAGAGGGGCAGGGGATCAACTACCGCTCAGCACCTGCTCTGCCGCCGTGAGATTCAGTGCTGAAAGTGCCAGCCTGGGGCACAAGCCCAGCGCGCTGAGCAAAGGCTGCTGCACTCAGCGGCTCTAGATCCAACCCTGTACTTTTTGGGGCATAGGCAACCCAGCAGCGCGGGTGTTGATGAGGCCTCTGGACAACCCCGTCCTTGCTGTCAGATAAGCAGAGCAGTGGGACAAGCAACAGCCCAGGGGGGTCCAAGCCCCGGACGTGCGTCCGTCCCAGGTGGGGTAGGGGCAGTGCAGCTTGCCGCTGCATTGGGGGTGGGACTGAGGGACCTCATGAGTCCATAGCAGCTTTCCCAGAAGGAAACCCAGGCTTGACCCCTGGGTTATCTATATCAGAGGGCAGATGGAGGCTCAGAGCGGCCCCAGTCTATCAGCCACTCCTCCTGCAGCAGGCTGGACACTTCTCCCCGCAGCACCAGCCCCAGCACGCGCTGCTCTGTGATAAGGTAGGTGGGAAAGGCCACAGCCGCTTTCTTCAAATGAAAAATGTATGAGGCTTTTATTGAGTTAGGTGTGAACATGAATAATGCAATTAGCACACCAGGCCCGGGAGCAGGCCAGGGACCGGGCCTGGCAACCACGCTGGTTCGGTCTGCAGAGACCGACAGCCCCTGCAGAAGCAGCAGTGCACGGAGGGGAGAAAGGGGAGTTTGGAGGCTGGATCACCGAGGACCTACAGACTCGGCCCCCAGGGAAGCCCTTTGGGCGCTGGTGAGCTAAGTACTTTAGTCGCGTGCTTCTGCTGCACTTCTTAGCAGGGAAATGGCTGGTTGTGGGAGGACTGGCGCTGTCACCTGTAGGCTTCAGAGTCAATGCCTCTGTTTAGCGGGGTGGGGCAGTGAGGCTATACCTCCAGGCTGGCGGCAGGCTCAGTGGGCATGCGCACGGTGGCAGTCTTTTCACCCACTTGACTGGTTGAACACCGTGGAGCCTGGAGAGCCGCTGTGGGGTAGGGACCGTGCCCCGTGGCCAACGCCATGACCTCGGGCATGCAGAGCACACCCAGCCCTGGGTGGACGGTGCATGGGGACAATCCACGCGTGACCTGGGCTGACATCACACACGCACCAAAAATGCTCAGGGGTCTGAGCTGAGCAGCGCCTCCCTCCCCAAGCCTCCAAACATCATGAGGTTGGCTTCCAAATCCAGAGGCCTTTAAAAAAGCAACAAGGCCAGCTGTCCAGGGGGATAGCCCAGGGGTCAGCTCCTCCTGCCAGGGGCTGGACTTGGACTTGTTTCTGAGCTCAGACCTGACTTCTTCTCTTCATTCATCCCATGACTCGGGGACCTGAGGCTTTACAGAAAGCACCAAACCTTGCAAGGCTCCTGGAGAAAGCCTGGGGGCTGGCGATGCAGCGGCTATGCCCTCGTCAAAGGAGCTCACTGCTTATCAAGACATCCTCCTCTGGCGCTGGGCGCTCAGGCCACGCTGCCCCCAGGGCTGTCTGCCCGCGAATATTGGGGGGTGGGGGGGGATTTAGGGCTGGGGTCAACAGGCTGTCAGAGCCAGCCCCGGTCTCTCCCTGCCCTGCTCCCCTTTGCATCAGCAGGTTTCCCGCAGGCCTGCACGGAGGGAAATGGGATGGTGGAGGGGGTCTCCTGTAGCCGGGGGGCTTCGGGAAGCCGGGTCAAGGACACAGATCTCTTTGCCTCTGCTTCCAGCAGGTGGTGCCCTAATGCTGCACGTGGCCAGCCCGGCCCAGCAGCGCTGAGCCCTGGCACCCAGGGCTGCGGACGGGAATCTTCCAGTTCCCCCAGTGTTTTGCTGGATAACTCCCAGCTCTCTTCCTCCCCGAACCGCACACCCCACCCCAGGCATCTGTGCTCAGCGCTACTGCCGGCATCCTATTTCCAAGCCGTTCCTAGCTGGATCTCGGAGTTGCCTGCATCCCACGACGGCTGTTTTTGGGGAGCAAGACCCTGCTCCGGCGGCAGGCTCCTCCACCGTAGCCTCTGCCCCATGCATTAGGCCATGCTCGGTGCCCGTGGGGCCAGCTGAGGTTGCCGCCTTCCCAGTCTGCGAGTGCTTTGCAGCTCATTACTTTGAGCGATAACCTTAGGGACCCATGCACTAGTTGCAGAGACCTCAGCGGGACTCCACCCAGCGACGGCTTTGTCTTCTGGGGTCTGTGCAAAGGGGGCCTGTGTGCTACTAGACAGCAGAGCCCCCAAACCACGTGCTGCTTGTTGGAGTCAGGGTCCCCTGTGCTCTGTCCAAGGCAGCCAACGGTGGGGATGTCTCCCTGGGAAATGCAGGGAGCATGGGTGCTGATGGAGCACCCTGAATGGCCTGGCCTGATCATCCGCGGAGAGCTCCTCACCCAGCTGGGATGGGGGAGGCTGCTGGACTGGTCTGTACTGGGGCCGCATCAGCTGGGCCCTGGGATACCCAGGCCTGTTGTCCAGGTGGGAACGTCCCCTGGGTTCGACCTGACCCACGTGCCCAGTCCCCAGCTGGGACGGGCGAGCTCCCCCAATCCATCTGCCTGCTTCTGCTTACCCTGCGACTTTGTTCTCTCACCCTGTCGAAGGCGCGAGTTCCCGGGCACGGAAATAGCTCCCGCGCTCTCCGTGGGGGAACAAGCAGACGCACTGGAGCCGGGGACCACGGACAAGGGGCAGGCCTTTGGAGGGACAGACCTGGCGCGCTCGGTGCCTGGCTTTCCAGCACCGCCTCGCCCCCTCGCCCCGCACCGGGCTGAGGATGGGCGCGTTTCGGCGCACGTGGCCCCTTCCCCTAGCCCGCCTGCCCGGGGCTGGTCACCTGGACGGCCAGGAGGCAGGTGGGGCTGGCTCCCAGCCAGGCTCTTTGTTGATCTCCTGGGAACTCAACCACTGCTCTGCTCTATTTACCGTCCTCCCACCAGGCAGGAGCAGGCAAACACCAGCCCTTTGTTAAGTGCTCTCCTGGCCTCCCCTGATGGGATCCACCCTCTGCCTCCCTCCCCTCCGGCCCCGTGCTACCGTACTGCCTGCAATAGGCAGTCCCAGGCCTATTGCTCTGCAGCTGCTTGGACCGGACTCTGCACACACGAAGCATCTCCTCCCCCCACCCCCACCTCTCCATCCTACCCCTGCGCCTGGTCCCCCACCAGGTGCGATGCCTGGTCCCTTCGCTGCGTAGGGGGCACGGAGCAGGGGGAAGGACCTTCCATCAGCAGCCAGCATATGAGAAACCAGCCTGCGCATGGGAGATGGGCCCAGCCCTCTGGCTGCTTCCATGTGTAGGGTACTGGGGAATAAGCACGTGCCAGCATCCCCACTGTGCTAGCCCAACCCCTCCAGTCTGAGCTGAAGCTGCAGCCTGGGAAGACAGGAAAGGCCTGAATCTGCTTTTACTTTGGCATCAAACCCAAGCTCAGCTTTGTTCCCGAATCACCGAAGCCTCAGCGGCTGGATGGAAAAGCCCCGGCACTCTGGACGCAAACTCTGCCCCTTCTCCGCTTGACCCCCCGGGCGGGTTTGCCCTCCTCCCGGCTGATGGGAAGGAAGGACCCGAGGCAGGATGGGCTGGGGTTGGAGCAAGGACTGTCTCAAATGGGTAAAAACCAGCCGAGCAAAGAAACAGAGGCCCCGCGGTGGTAACGTCGAGCGACATTTCTTCCACCCCCCGCTGCGTAACCCCCCAAGCCTCTGTGCAGAGGCTGCCAGGAGGGGTAAGCACCCGGGGACACGAATCCAGACATCCTCAGAAAACCGACCACTTTTGAGAGGCACCAAATCTCGAACAGCCCACGGGGTAATCCCTGCCTGCATCCGGATGTCTCCTGCCTTTTGTCCTGTTCTCTGTCTGATCTGCGCTCTACATGCCTCAATTACCTCGTCGATGCCCGACCTGCCCGGGAAGAGATGCCCTGATGGGCGAGAGGCTTGCTAGACGGTGCAGATCTTCCTTCACCCTTAACCGCTTCATCTTTTCGGGCCTCGGGGCGATTCACTGCCTTCGTTGCAAGCCAGCCGTACTTTGGGGGACCCCTCCTTACCGCCTTCAAGAGGCGCTGCAGGACCAGGCTGCCTTGATTTGACCCCCTAAAGCCTCCTGGGAACAGGACTTTGCTCCCTGATTTGAAATGCCAGGGCCAGAGGGATCCCAGGCAGGGCTTTGGTGAAGGCAGGCGCTGGCAAAGCACAGGCGGTGGAAGGTCCCGGTTTTGCTCCATGACGCTGCCCGCTTTCCCTTGCTCAGAGCTGCCCGGGCACCCGCCCCAGCCCGCCCGTCCCCGCAGGCGCCTCTGTCGTAGGCCGGCCAGAGCGTCAGAGCTCGCGGGAGGGAGAGCGCGACCGCGGCTCGTTCCCGTCAGGCTGCGCCATGTGCCGAGACACCTCATAAATCACGGCGATTGTTCTTCACAGAGCAAACAGCTCATGCGGGAAGGAGAGGGGTGTCTGCGGATTTAAATAACCAAGCAAGGCATAAAAGGGCAGCGGTTAATTCAGGGCTCATGAGTCCTGGGAGGGAGGACAGGCGGTGCTCACACCGCCCTGGGCACCCTCTGCCCTTCAGGCTGGGGGCGCGGGGGGCGGCCCTGCACACGCCTAGTCCCTGGTTGTTGGCACGACGGCATGGTTCGGCCCCGGGGCCAGATGCCCTGAGAAGATGCAAAATCCTCTCCCGTGCCGGGCTCGGCAGGATCTTTTAAAGGGAGGCACGGTCTTGGCCCCGCCTGGCTCTGCGGCCCTGCCTGGGACACCCCAACTGGAACCTGCCTGAACCCCAGCGGGTCCCGCGGCTGGTCACGGAGCCTGTCCTCTCGCTTGAAGACCTCCCATGGGTTCAACAGGGGAGGCTGGTGCGAAGCGAGTTTGCGAGGCCTCAGCTCCCCTTGGGATGGGCCCCAGGGGCTGCGCCTACCCTGGATGGACGGACCCCCATTCGCTTGACCTAAGACCCCCCGCCCGGCTCCCGCCATGGCAGCAAAGCGGCAGAGTCCCCTGCTCCTGGCCTCCACCCCCGCATGTCTCGCTGCCTTTTCTCCCTCCCCGCTCGCCCCTGGACAATATTAAAGCACTTAATCCACTCGGCGGGTCCTTGAGCTTGGCTGCCAGGCAGCTGAGAGCCGTCGGCTTCATTAGGTGCTTTGATGAGCTGAAGTGCCTGGATCGCGCACGTGGCGGCCGTGCCGGCGCACCTTTGCACCGGGCTCGCTTGGCTCGGGGCTGCAGCGGGAGGGATTGGGGGGAGGTTAGGCCTGGGAGAGCCCATCTCAGGGCTCCCTACCGGGAAGATGAGCCATGCATCTCTGCACGGGCCGGCTGCGAATGCAAGACTCATCGTCCCCGCGCTGTGCAGAGCCACGCCTGGAGGAAGAGACGGGGCTGGGACCCATGGTGCCTCGGCCTGGGTCGTGCCCACCGCTCCCTTGGCAGCAGCTGGGCTTACCTGGATCTCTGTATGGAGAAGGGCCAGGGAGGGTCAAGCCTTCCCCAGCCCCTGCTTGAGGCCATGTCATCCTTGTGCAGACAGGCGTGTCACTTCGTGCCATCCAGGGGACGTCAGGGCGAGATCACGTCTGGCACGAGCAGCTCTTGGGATGGCTCAGGCGTGATCCGTCCAGCAGGCAGAGAGGGAAGGCAGGGGCTGGGGGCTATTCGGTGCCAAGCGGGGTCGGAGCACGCCCGGGAGGCTGAGCCAGGCCAAGCTGGAACCACGGAAAAACCCAGCGGCAGCTGTGTTAGGAGGAATACGGCTCGGCTGCTGAAGTCTATATTTGGGAGGTTTCTAGCGCCTGCAATGAATGAATTGTGACAGCTGAGCTGGTATAAAAGGAGACAGCAGGTCTCGGGCACCTCATTCCCAGCCCGGAGCCAGCCGCGCAGGCCGGGAGCTAGGACCTGCCTGCTGGGGGACACTGCCTCCCCACGGGGCTCCCGGGGACCGTCCAGCCACAGGTAGGCACGGCGGGCAGGGGCGTCTGCACTGATCGGGGCAGGGAGTTTGCACCCTCGAGAGGGAAGGACTGGAGCCAAGCGCCAGTGTCGTAGGCAGGCAGGATATTTCTCCTTCGCTGCATCCGGATGGGGGGGCACCCACGGGCGGTGCCCCGCCGGGCTCCTGGCCTCCCCGGCAGCGCAGCAGGGAGCTGGCAGAGTTCCCATCCTGTTCCCCCCAACTCCCGTCCTTGGTCCCCACGCTGAAGTTGGCTGGAGATCGGCACCGCCGAGGGAAGCCACGGCCCAGGTGCCAGCTGGGAAGCCCACCCAGCAAAGCCAGCCACAGGTGCCTGGTGACAAACTTCGTGCCGGTTCTGGAAAGCAGGGGCTGTGCGTGCCAAGGGGATACCCTAGGCTCTGGGGGGGAGACCTGGGGGGCCGATCCCTGACCCCCCATGGGGCCCTGTAGGGAGAGGCTAACTAGGTACCTCCGGTTAACCCTTCCACTGCTGGCCATCCAAAGACTGGCCTCTCTCCTCCGATGGTCTCAAAACACCCATGCAAGGACTTGCCACCTGGCTGTCCCCGAAGAGCCCAGAGGATAGGCTGGGGTGTCCCGGGGGAACCAGAGGGGCACAGCAGGTGCCCAATGGCAGGGACCTGGCTGGCAGTGCAGCCCTGCAGGTGCTCTGTGCCCGGGGTCACCTCCAGCATCCAAGGACCGCGGGGCTATGCCTGGCTGGGTGCAAGGGTGGAGGGGCAACAGAGCCCACCCCGCGCCCCTTCTCCAGCCCCCAGCTGCTCTGCAGTGGCTGCTTCCCCTCCTCTCCCTGCCCCCAGTATGGATTTGTGGAGGGGCTGGCATGGGACTAGAGGCATCCCTGGGCTCCGGCTCCTGGGAAAGAAGTTAAACAAGGCAGGAGGTTTGGCTTCCCCCAGGCGCTCGGGGCTGCAGGGCTGGGCAGGGCAGGGCATCGCTGCCAAAGCCAGGCCAGAGCAAGGGGGGCCAGCAGGGACCCCCCTCGCCCCCTAGATCTGCACAGACCCTGCCGCCTTTGCCGACTGCGCATCCCGGGAGGATTGGAGTAAATCAAAGCCGACCCCCTTCCCCCCCAGCCCGGCCCTCGCAGGGCTGAGCCGGTGACTCGGCCGAGCTGCGCGCGCCTGCCCCCCAACCCACTGCCGACACGAGTCTTCTGGTCTCAGCCCAGACGGTGATGGGCTGAAGTTGGCGGGGTGGGGAGGGTGGTGCATAGCCCAGCTGGGGTGAGCTCGGGTGGATCCTCAGCCCCCCCCGCGGGCATGGGGGCGGCTATTGCCTGAGCTGGGGGAGCAGCCGGGCAGGGAGGTGGTGTCATCTCATCGTGCCAGACGGCTGCACCTCCCATGGACAGGGCTGGGCTCCTCGTGCTCTCTGGCAGGGCCGGGCACCACCCCAGACGCCCCGGCTAGGCTGGACAGGTGCCCCGTGGGAAGGGCCCGATCCTTGCCGGTGCCCCCTCCCCAGGCCAGGTTGGGGCCCCGATCCGGCCGTGGCCACGACTGCCACGGATGAAGCCCTGCCCTGTCCTTGTTTATCTTGCAGAGGGGGAGCACCGGGTGCCCGCGGCCCCCGCCCCGTCCCCTGCGCCCGCAGCATGTGGCTCTTTGAGCGGATCCGCGGCTCGGTGGAGAACGGGGCGGCCCGGGCGGGCGAGGCGGGGGACAAGCAGGCCAAGGGCCCCCTGTACAGCAACGTGCTGACCCCCGACAAGATCCCCGACTTCTTCATCCCACCCAAGCTGGCCACTGTGCCACCCGAGGCCGAGGGGGCGGAGGCCAAGGCCAAGGCTGGGCTCAGCACCTCGGCCTCCGAGCAGAACCTGTCGGCCCGCAAGCCCCAGCGCAGCCCGCGGCTCCCGGCCAAAGCCGCCTCGGAGAGCAAGAACCTGCTGAAGGCAGCCAGCCGGCACATCATCCAGATCGAGAGCGCCGACGAGTGGGCCGACGAGGAGGACTTCAGCACCAACGCCGACCCGCAAGCCCAGACGGCCATGTCCCTGCCCTACGTGCCCAAGGCGCAGACCTCCTACGGCTTCGCCACGCTCATGGAGAGCCCGCACACGCGGCGCAAGGAGTCGCTCTTCCACAGCGAGCACGGCAGCCTGTGCCAGGCTCAGACGACCTCCCCCAGTGCCCAGCGCCGGGCAGGGGGCAAGGTGAACGGGGACGGCGCCCATCTCACCCCCTCCGACACGGGGGCATTGCTCATGAACCCCTACCGCTACTTCAGCGGGGGCGAGAGCGACACCTGCTCCTCGGCCGAGTCCTCGCCCTTCGGCTCCCCGCTGCTGTCCCGCTCCGTGTCCCTGCTCAAGCTCTTCGGCCAGGAGAGCCAGGCCAAGGTGATCAAGCTCAAGCACTCGGTGGCTCGCAACAGCTCCCTCTCCACCGACGACAGCTCGGCCGACACCAGCCCCAGCTCCCAGCGCCGCCTGCGCTGTGCCACCCCCCCGCCCCAGCCGCCGGCGCCCCCGGAGCCCCCGGGGCCCGAGCGGCAGCAGAGGGAGCACCTGCTGAGCCTGAGCAAGGGGGGCAGCCTGCATCAACTGCTGCGTGGGGCTGCACCTGAACCCGGGCAAGCTGCAGAAGCAGCGCAGCACCATCATCAAGAACAGCCGCAACCCCGTCTTCAACGAGGACTTCTTCTTCGACGGCCTGGGCATCAGCGCTGCCCGCAAGATGTCCCTCAAGGTCAAGGTGGTCAACCGGGGGGGCAGCCTCAAGCGGGACACGCTGCTGGGCGAGAGGGAGCTGCCCCTCACCTCCCTGCTGCCCTTCTGATGAGCCTCGTGGCTGGCCCGCCCCGGCCCGCTCTCCCCGCCAGCGCCCGACGGGCATCAGAAGCCTCCCCCAGGGGCAGGGAGGCGTCCGATGCTTCCCGGATCGGTCCCCTTGGCCGATGTGGAGCAGCCCCCTGCACCAGCCTCGAGAGCTAGCGGCTGGCTTCTCTAGACGGGCTGGGCGAGGGGTGACGGGGATGAGACCGAGGGGTCCCTTGTGGGGAAAGGAGTGATTTGGGCCCTTTCCCTGCTCCCCAGACCCAGTGTCCCGCCTGGCGGGTGGCGTCGGAGGGTAGATTCAGCCCACACGGTGCAGTGCAGACGCCCCGGGGCTGGGGCCGTGGAAGCACTGATCTGGCCGTGAGCTGTGGCAATGGGAGGGGGTGATGCTCTAGGGGTGGGGGAGGCAATCGGTGCCCCTGCAGACCCCTTCTGCCTCATCTCTGCCCTCCCCAGGGGGCTGGAAGGGGGTGGGACTCACTGCTGGGCCCCCGCAGCATTTGCACTTGCCTGCAAAGCCCCATGTCCTGGAGTCAGGGGATGACACAGTAGCTTTGGGCTCCTTCTCACCCCAGGCTGCTTCCAGCCTCTGCGGCTGCAGAGCAAATCTCAAGGTCCTGCTGCAGGGGCAGGGCCCAGAAAGCAAAGCAAGGGCAGCCCAAACTGCTCCCTCGTGGGTTTTTAAGCCAACTTTGTGCTCTTTTCCGGCCGGGGTCCTGATCTGCGAATGCCGGGGAGGGGGTGGGAAGGGTGACAGGGCGTCTGCACCCCTCCCAGCTCCATGCCCACCCCAGAGGTCCCTGGGGATGGCTTCTCCTCTCCCAGACAATGTGCAATGTTCCCGGGGAGCCCATCCTGAACCAGGTTCATCCCGTCTCTCGCAGCAGCCTCTGAATCAGGCCCCTCGAAGCGCCTTGGGCTCGGGACCTCTGTCCTCCGGTTGCTGCAGAAAAGAGATGGCTGCCCCCCAGCAGGCACTGCATCTCCTCTCCGCTCCGCGGGCCCCTTCCTTTGTCTGCTGCTAGAAAAGCTCATGTCTTGGCCCCCACTTCTCTGAGCCCAGACGCTGCATTGAACCCCGCCGTAGGATTCCCAGCTTGCCGGCCGCCCAAAGCACCAGGGCCAGCCGACCTAGGGCGGATCCGGTCACAACCCCGCTAGCTTGGGGCTGGGAAGTGAAGCCCGGGACCCAGCCTGACCTCACCTGGGAGCACTGCGGGGAGAGAGGGGGCGGCTGAGTGTAAGCGAGCATTAATGGAGCTGGATTTGCCTCCCGGTTGATAACCTGCTTTGGGAGCAGAGCCTGGCGCACAGCAGGCAGAGCTTCACACGCAGCTGGAGCTGCCTGCAGGTTAATTTAGCAAAGGCTGGAGCAGCGGGGGGTGTTTGAACCAGCCTCTCTGCAGAAACCAAAGGGGCTGAGCAACACCCCAGCTCCGCAGGCACCAGATCCTGGGGGATGAACCCCCACAGAAAACCCTCCTGGCCTTTTTCCTCCCCTCCCTTTCCTTGTTCACATCGCGCAGCAG